CAGTCATAGGGAACTTTATTAGATAATGCCAAATTGTTTTCCAGTTTATACCTGTGTTCTAGTGAGGGAATATATTAGTCCTAGAACCTTATTTCTTTTTTTGGGGGGGGGGATTTATCCTTTTTAAAAAATTTGTTCTTTTTAGATCTACATGACAGTAGAATGTATTTTAACATATTGCACATACATGGAGTATAACTTATTCTAATTAGGATCCCATTCTTGTGGTTTAAAATGATGTGGAGTTACACTGGTCATATATTCATATATGAACATGGGAAAGTTATGTCTGATTCATTCTACTGTCTTTCCTATTCCCATCCATGTCTCTTCATTTCCCTTTGTCTAATTCAAAGTACTTCTATTCTTCCCTCCCCCTTGTTATTGTGTGTTAGCATCCGCATATCAGAGAGAACATCTGGCTTTGGGGGATTGGCTTATTTCACTTAGTCTGATACTCTGATTCCATCCATTACCAACAAATGCCATAATTTCATTTTTCTTCATGGCTGGGTAATATTACATTGTGTATATATACCACATTTTCTTTCTTCATTCATCTGTTGAAGGGCACCTAAGTTGGTTCCATAGCTTAGCTATTGTGAATTGAGTTGCTATAAACATTGATGTGCTGCATCACTGTGGAATGCTGATTTTAAGTCCTTTGGGTATATACTGAGGAGTGGGATAACTGGGTCAAATGGTGGTTCTATTCCAAGTTTTCTGAGAAATTGTCATACTGCTTTCCTGTGTATTTGCACCCATTTGCAATCCCACCAGCAATGTTGCACCAATTTGTAGTCCCACCTGCGATGCAATCCCCCCATCCTTGCCAACATTTTTACTTGTATTTTTTTATAGTACACAAATAGAGCACACATTTTCTCTGGTTGTACACAAAGTAGATCTTCATGTCTTCACACATGTATCTAAGGTAATGATGTCCATCTAATTCCACCATCATTCCTATTCCCATGCCCCCTCCCTTCCCCTCCTGCCACTTTACCGTATCCAAATTCCTCCATTCTCCCATGCTCTCCACCACCAACCCACATCATGGATCAGCATCCATTTATCAGAGAAGACATTCAGCCTTTGTTTTTTGGCGATTGGTTTACTTCACTTAGCATGATGTTCTCCAACTCCATCCACTTACCTACAAATGCCATGATTTTATTCTCTTTTAATGCTGAGTAATATTCCGTTGTGTATATAAACCACAGTTTCTTTATCCATTCATCTATTGAAGGGCATCTAGGTTGGTTCCACAATTTAGGTATTTGAATTGGGCTGCTATAAACATTGATGTGGCTGCATCACTGTACTATACTGTTTTTAAGTCCTTTGCATATAAATTGAGGAGTAGGTATCTGGGTCAAATGGTGGTTCCATTCCAAGTTTTCTGAAAAAACTCCATACTGCTTTCCAGAATGGTTGCACCAGTTTTCAGTCCCACCAGCAATCTATGAGGGTACTTTTTTTCCCCCACATCCTTGCCAACATTTTTATTACTTATAGTCTTGATGAGTGCCATTCTGACTGGAGGGAGACGGAATCTCAGTGTCGTTTTAATTTGCATTTCTCTGCTAGAGATGTTGAACTTTCCTTTAAGTACTTTAAATAGTTTGAAATACTGGTTTTTACAGAACATATTTTATTTAGGAAATGATTTTTTAGATACTATGAGTTGTATCTTGTGATCAGAACTATTTCCAGCTTGACTTAGAATGTCTAAAGATGTTAATCACCCACAATTTCATCCAGTAGTAACAAGAAAAAATTAATTTCAAATAACTTTAGTGGTAGGAGCAAAAGTATTTTTCTTCTGTTCTATAGATAATATACATCTGCAACATATTGGCTTTAGTTTGTATGGTTTTTCTAGTTATACAATCCTGTGATCTAGAATTTATAATTTTACCTCTTTCAAGTTTTACTTGCTCACTAGAAACAATTCTGCAAGCAAAATAACATATATGAGACATGAATTTCTCAATAACTCATTAGTATTACAAAGTGATCCACTTTTAGTCATCATGAAATGTACAAACAAAACCACAATAAATAGTTGGTATAGACTCATTGATTTTCCTGTGATCTCATGTCACAAACCCACAATCCCACAGACCCACCATGACATTCCATTTACAAACCCAGGGAATCCATCACATAACCCTATATAGACATCAAACCAAACTCAGAAAGCAGTTGCCTCAAACTCAACTCCTTTACAATTATCCTAAAATTTTATCAGTTTCTTAGAAAGTTAAACATAAACTTATCAATTACCCAGCAATTTTTCTTCTAGAGTTTACCCAGAAGAAATGAAAGTATTTGTTAACTTTACAATGTTTAAGACCTGTAAATAAACCAAATGATATTAAGAGAAAAATGAATAAATAAATTGTGGCACATTAGCACAATGGAATGCTCATTTGAAATTTAAACTATATTAATATAGTATAAACTACATTAAGAAGTATATAAATAAAATATAAACTACATTAAGAAGTATGAGGGCTGGGGTTGTGGCTCAGCAGTAGAGCACTTGCCTAGCAAGTAAGTGCAAGGCCCTGGGTTCAATCTTCAGCATCACATAAAAATAAATAAAATATTGTTGTGTTGTGAACTGATAAATACTATCAATAAGAGTATAATATAGGTTATAGATTAGTAAAAAAGAATACAGATTATGGATATAAGATTTTGATAAGTGAGATAAGACAATTATAAAGCAAGAACTGTCACAGGCCTGACTCCATTTTGCTGCCTCCGGTAAAAAAATGTTACAAGAGTTTTTTTTTTTTATGAGAAAAAGGAATAAAAGCTGTTTTCTTATAAAAAATTATTTTCTGTACTTTGTACTCCACAAATTGTACCTTGATGTGAGTGCCCTTGTGAGTCTACATGACTTTGAATTGGTTTCTCGCCCCCACCAACCCCCATTCCCCAAATTCAGGATACCACTGTCTAGCACCTGCTTGAACCCAGGACTGTGGTCAACTGAACTGCAAAGGTAATGGCTTTTTTTTTTTTTTAAGTTTCTATTTATCGCTTGATTGTTGACCAGAAAATTCCAGTCCTGCCTAGAGCCCACAGGTCCCACTTATTAATGTTTTAATTTCTGTGATTGGCTCGCTTATGTGGGTCACTGAGTTGGGATTTTTGTGCTTATAGTCTCCTTGGATGGACCAGGAAGCTGCTATCCTCCCATAGAGCTTGAGTCTATGCTGTGGGTGACAGTCACTGTCCCAATAAATAAAGCTCTTTTTTTTTTATTTGAAATTCGGACTTAAGAGTGGTTTATGGAGTGGCTCCCCATAACATTGTGTCCAACCACCATTAAAAAACATTTTTTTTTTTTAAAGAAGTAGTATGAGAGATACTATGATCAGCTAAAGGAGACTGGGAATTCTCAATTGAAAACTAAATTATGGTGACAGAAACTGGAACTCTGACTGTAGTGAAACTGATTGGAAAAGGACACCTGATAAGTTCCTGCCCACAAACTGAGCGTCTACAAACACGTCCGAAGCCGCCCTGGGCGCTGGGGCGTTCTTTTGGGGAAGAACTAAGGAAACCCTCCAGCAACCCTCGGTCCTGAGCACGCCCCACGCCCTGGGGCTCTGCACTTTCAGGCCCGAGTAGAGCGAACCTCCCTCCTACCCAGGCTGCCAGTTCTGACCTGGGCCCTACCCGGCCGAACTCAAGATACCCCTTCTAGGGTTAGGGGTTCCAGTTTTCCAGCGGGTGGGAGCAACTCGGGATTCCGATGTACTTCCGGCGCCAATCCTAGCAAGCACTTCCGGCTTCCTTTGCTCGGCGGCCTGGGTTTTCATTATTTTCTCCGCCGGCTTCCAGATGACTGGCGGTCCTCAACCCTCCTCCGAGTTCCTGGGAACTCCCGGGAGATTCCCGAGCCTCTTATGGTCTGTATGGCCGGTGGGTTCTGCCTGAACGTTTGGACTTGCTGGGGTTGGACTGCGATTCCCACAGGCCCTGAGCCACGGATGAACCTGGAGCGTTGGTTCCCCTTCCGGTGTGGTGGTGTGGCGCACTTCCTGGGGAGTTGAGGCGGCTGAGGTCAGGCCCCGGCTCTCCCGAGGCGGGATGGATACTGTGGAGSCCGAATCTACAAACCTGCGCGAGCCGCGAACACTTGTGACGGCGACCCTGCAGGGTGTGGATGTACGAGAGGGAAGGGCTGAATGTGTTTGTGACGACGCCCTGGTGTGCGCCCTGATTGGTGTCTGATTGGATTCGTGTGACCCTGTTTCACTTGGTGTTTGATGATGTAGGTGTTTCACTCTGTGACCTACTTGCCGAGCCTAGCAGATGAAGTTTTTGTTTTCAACGAGTCCGTAGTGTCCCTTCTTCTTTTTTGTGATATTCTCGGTACCCAGCTTGGTGCATAACATAGAAGGGCATTGTGGAGTGAGTGACCACCCACCCAGGTTCTAGTTGTGGGTTCCATGTTTTTTTTTTTTTTTGGAACATGTTTCCGGAAGTCTTTTTCTGTCCTCACAGCTAGCTGTAGAGAAATAGTCATCACCAGAGAAGTCGTGTATTTCGGCTCAGAGTGGAAGTTCCAAGCAGAAAAGAACATTCTAAGTCATGAGGTGTGAAGTGCATTGGCCTCCCAGATATGCTCCCGGGAAGATATTGAGGGGAGGGAGTTTTTCCTGGGAGATGGCCCCTTGAATACCCTGTGGAGGCATTTACACATTTCCTAACCACCGTATTTCCTGAGCTGTGTCCCCTAGAAGCTGATGTGAACCCCGAGGACAGGCTCTAGGCATTGATGATTCTGACACAGAGAAGAGTCTGTAGTTTTCTAGTTTCCCCTCTTCCATCTGGGTTTATGGGTTGTGTATGATGGGTGCTTGTCTGGTGGTGGACAGTATTATTTAGCCAGTCCAAGATCTCACAAGTCAGATTATCTCACAAGTCCTTTCTTCTTGGTCATGTTATTCCTCAAGAGAAAGAAGGCTCCTGAAGTGGAAAGGAGCACTGCTTTTTAACAGCCATCTCAGGGTCAGTTTGTATTTATTTTTGTTCTGTCAAATGCATTTTTTTGTTTTTTTTTTTTCAAGTCGCTGAGTACTTGAAAAAAGTACTCAGGCCCTTGTGCATGCTATGTCAAATATATTTTTGTTTTATGAAAAAAACTATTTGCTTTCCTTCTCCTGAATTGCCTTGCCTTATTGTGACCTATCCTTTTATCTAGTTCCTAGATTTCCCCTTCCGAAGTAATAACATAGAGATGTATCTCCTTTTCCTCCAGTGCCATTTATTTCTTCAGTTACTGTGTGTTCCTAGGGCCATTTCCAGAGGCCTTAATTTTTTTGTGTTGTTGTGATAATATTTTACCAGTTTCACTGGGGAACATGCCCATCGAGCTTTACCCACTCTTATGCCAGAAGTGGAATTTCCTGACCGGTTCTTCACAGTTCTAACCATGGACCATGTGAGTAATTTCTCTCTTCATGAATATTTCCTTTTTCTGAATACACAACAGCTATAATAGAGAACGAATACCACATCCTCATCTTTTTCATTTTCTAGTGAGGGCTAGAATCAGTGTCCCTTCTGTGTGCCCATCTGTTCTCCAAATGATGTTCAACATTCCCTATGTCTTCAGTCTACTATAGAATAAGAATGGAATCCCTGGATTTTCCTTGTCATATTATTGAATATGGGAAAAAAAGCAGACAAATATTTGATGACATGGGCAAACTCTAAAATTCTCCACAGACCTGAGTTTCCAGATGGATTTGATTTGGCCCCAAGTTATACAAAATGATAAGATTAAAATTAGAAAATATTGGCTGGGGATGTGGCTCAAGCAGTAGCAGGCTTACCTGGCATGCACAGGGCTCTGGGTTTGATCCTCAACACCATATAAAAATAAAGATGTTGTGTCCACCTAAAAAAACTAAAATAAATATTAAAAAATAATAATTAGAAAATATCTCATCTCACCTAAATGCTTAAGTGTAAGTAAGTCGCTTTTGAATAGATAGTCTATTTTGTAGCCACTAAAAAGCATGTATTAAATAATTTGTCATCAGAAGTAATAATTGTAAAATATGAAATGATACATAACATATAGCATTGAACTGGGGGCTTCAAGAAGTATGTAAGTTTTATCTTTTGAAGCACTGGAGATAGAACCCAGGGTCTTATACATGGTAGGCAAGTGCTCTACTATTAAGCTATTATACTTTTAGTTCCTGTGAGGGATTTTTAATTTATTTTCTAAGTTAGATATTTTTCTTATGCAGGGGAATGAAGATACAGAAACTTAATCTTTATTGGTGATTCATGAAGTGGACCCATAGCAACATGCAATGGCATATAGACACTATCTTATTTAATATGTGAACTGATTATTTTATTAATTCCCAGACATGTTTGGCTACTTACAAAATCCCACATTGTTTCAGATTTCTCTGCATTAAATGGATTCTTTAAAGACATACATAGCCTGATTTGGAAACACTAATTCCCTTATTTCTTAAGTCATAGGCTTATATCCACAGTATACTTGATTAACATCTAGTTCCCTTTCTATAATGCAGTTTTTTATTTCTTTTTCTTGAAAAGATTTCCTTAAATTTTACTGTAATRTTTGGGTTTATTGTTTCAGGAATTGGTGACATTCAGAGATGTTGTCATCAACTTCTCTCAGGAAGAGTGGGAATACCTGGATTCTGCTCAGAGGGATTTATATTGGGATGTGATGATGGAGAACTATAGCAACTTGGTCTCACTGGGTAAATTTATCTGCATCAAATAATTTAGAATATGTTCTCTAGAATATAAACTAATATTCAGTGAACTCAAGACTATCTTTAAAAAACAAAACTACTGAATTTCTTCTCCCTGTTCCAAAAATATTGTTTCATTGTTGTTATATTCCAGAGTAATCCTCCACTAAATATCTTCCTCATATTCATACCAGGCAGTTTATATAATTTCTATCTTCCTTGATTCTAAGGGAGCTGGAGTTGACTTATAGGACATATATAGCATATCATAGGGATATTATATTGTATTTGATCTCAGAATTGCTATAGATTTATTATGTTGTTTTCTTTTCCACTCTGTTGGACAAACACTATGACATGTCCCAATTTTTATGACTATTAGAAGAATCTCTACAATTTACATATTGTTGGGTTGATAAACAGAATTCTTCATATTCATTTACTGCCACAAATATAGCTGCTTTTTGGTTAAAGAACTTTGCATTTAATACAGGGTTTGTTTTGGTCTTGGTCACCATTATACAGAGCACTATGTCTTCAACATAGACACCAAATCAATATGTCTCAGAAAGCTACTTTGCTGCAGTCTGGCTGGGCACAATTCAGGAGCCACTTGTCAAAAGAAACTAACTTTATTTTTAGAACTACAAACGCCAAACAAAACAGCTCCTCAGGAAAAAACCCTCAGAGCCCAACTGCCACCACCGGCTTCCCACAAGCCTCTCACCCCAACACCAGCCTCTCCACCTCCCACAATCCTCCTGCTCTTGAGGCCGA